ATCCAACACGCTTCGTCGTGAGTGAGTCAGCAGCACCAGCTGCAGATGGAGTGGGCAGAAGGGCATCTAAATTTAGTCATTATTCACTCGAGAAGGTTTTCAGTGACTATTTGTCTCTCCTTTATGGCTTTAGTCATATTCCTTCTTCTGGAGACAGAAACAAAAAGAATGGAGAATGGTCAGTCCAAGATATTTCATGAGCACAACTCTGTCGATTGTATCCGAGGATGATTCTCTTTCAGTTGAACCATGATACACACTATTTATTGACACAGCTCCTGAATTTAGGAACCTAAATTCAGGTTTAGATTCCTAAACCTAATGGGCAGAGTCCTGGACACTAGAGAAGGAATTTTTTGAAATCAGATTTAATAAACAAGCTCTAAAATCTTGATAGTTCAAAGACATTTTTTAAACCAAACTGCCTTCCTCCTCCAAGATCCGGGAAGTGGGGGAGAGCAGTGGTGGGTGAAGACTTAGTACATTTTGTGCTTTTTCCTGGGGAAGTTGCTTGCTATTTGTTAAACTGGTGGCTTAAAAACAACAATGCCAGGGTTTAGCTCCTTGAATCCTCACAGAATCCTATGAGGTAGGTGGTATTCTCATGCTGTAGTTGGGGACAGTGAGGGCACCTGGGTGGCTCAGTCGGTTAAGCATCTGCCTTCAGCTCAGCTCAAGATCCCAGGGTCCTGGATTCGAGCCCTGCATTGGGCTCCCTGCTCAGTGGGGAGTTTGCTTCTGCCTCTCCCCCTGGCTTATGCTCTCTCTCTCTCAAATAAATAAATAAAATCTTAAAAAAAAAAATGAGTACACTGATCCTCAGGTTACAAACTTCTCTCCAGGTTACACATACTGGCAGAGCTGGTATGCAACCCCGGGTCTGTGTGACTTCAAAGCTGATGTTTTTAACAATATAATGTTCTTCACTTTGTGGAGGGCGTGGGGACTAATTTAACTGTTGACCTACTTTATTTTCTCTGAGATGATTCTTTGGAGACCGATGATCTGCCAAAGTACATTGCAGATTAGGCTAGCTTTTTGCTGTTGTGTTCTCAAACATCCTCACGATGTCTAAAAATACTAAAAATACTGTATAAGAATTTGAGATTCAAAGATAAAAATGTCACAAAACTGAAAAGGAAGAGAACTGAAGTGGTGATAGGGTGAAGGAGATTAAGAAAAGGAAGGGAGAGAAGTAAGGGGGACGGAAGGAGAATTTTTCTCCTGTTTGATACCTGGACTCACTAGGCTTATTTTAAGCCCTCTGGGATTTGGCTGCTCTCATCTTCAAGGGACAAAGAATGATCTTGAAAACCTTGGCTTCCAAAAGTCTGCCGGGTGGTAGCATGGTCATTGGAGCTAAGTTTTTAGATTGTTGAGCCAAAGAAATTTTGCAACCAAGCAGGAAGCAGTTGACCCAGCTGCTTAACACAGGTTAAGATGGCACATCTGATCTTCATGATACAGGAGTTTATTATTACATGAGCAAAGCATTTTCTTCTCCTTAGACTTTAGTGCCTTTTTGAAAAGTATTCCCTTCCATCCTTTCGCTTGAAAGTCTTTACAAACAGTTTTTAGCAAGGTACTCTGCAGTGAATTAGACAAATCTTACCTGATGGGGCTTACAGACTGGCAGACATTCAATATTTCTGAAATTTTGTGAGAATAATAGCTATGAAGTATTTTACGTGGTAAAGAAGTAAAGAGTAAGTGAGGAATGCTTGTAGAAATTGATAAACCTAAGAGAACGTCGTAGAAGAAATGTAATTTTTGGAGCTGCTTGTTGAAAAAGAGACCAATATGAATTTTGGCAATAAGAGTCATCTGGCCTCCAAAGGTCAGGTTAGAGGAATATGTTATATTGCATCAAATCAAATCTAGGCTGATATGTTAGCTAACCCCAGTATTTGTAAAGAGAGTATCAAAAGGTTTGGGAAAAATGAACAAAGATGCTTTTTGTAACCAGGGTTACCTAATTAAATTTTCATCCAAATTGAATCAGTCTTTGTTCATGCATGCCCCTGCTTCTAGGCAGGGTCGATGTGGGGTTTATCTCTGGAGATAACTTAAGTTCCTTTAAGTTCTTTGAGTAAGATATGTATTACTTAAGCCCCATAGATAGATAAGCTTGGAAAGAAGAGTATTTTAATAGCCTGTACAGACAATTGTGGATACTTTTCTTAACTATTATACTAAAAGTCCAGCAAGTAGGAGTTTCTTAAATATTAGTTGCAGTGCAGAATCTGAAACTATGTTGGTGGGTTTTTCTTACTTTTTGACATCAAAATTGAGTGGTCTGACTTACACTTTTTTTTTTAAGATTTTATTTATTTATTTGACAGTCAGAGATCACAAGTAGGTAGAGAGGCGGTGGGGGGGGGGAGCAGGCTCCCCGCTCAGAGAGCCCGACACGGGGCTCCATCCTAGGACCCTGGGATCATGACCCGAGCGGAAGGCAGAGGCTTAACCCACTGAATCTTTTACCCATGCATGATTATCTACTACCATGTATTTCATTGGGACTTGGAAAATAAGGGTTCATTGTACTATGCAGATTTTCCAAATGTTAATGCATTTTCTTATATGTTTGTGAATAGTCCGAATCTGATCTCATCAGAAAAGTATTAGGAAGCTGTCAAACTCGTGGGAGTGGTATGTTTCCCAAATTCCAGGTTCTTTTGGATGGTCAAATTTTATCACTGGCAATAAATGCTAGTTATTTTCTTTGAAGTGACAGGCTCACCTTGTTCATTTTCAAGTCTTAAACCATAATTTGCACATCAGTTGTTCTTTTGAGTAAAAATAGCATTACATGAAAAAGTGGCTTTTTCATCTCACAATAGATGCACAAGTGCTTCTTTCTTTCTTTCTTTCTTTCTTTCTTTCTTTCTTTCTTTCTTTCTTTCTTTCT